TCCCAAGATTATGCAAAGTTATCCAGATCTTATGTGGCATCAAGATGCCAAGAAGGCCTTTCTAGGCATCAGATTACTTCTGAAACAGCTACTGCCCTGTCCAGGAAGTCACATCAAGTCTGATAGCTGGGTTGCTTCCTTATGCCCCCAGAATCTTAGGTGGGGCCTGGAAGCTGGGTGTCAGAGATCCAACTCCACACCCCTGAGCACTGGGGAGCAGGACCCCAATGCCTACTCCTTGAGAGGACCGCCAGTTCCTTCCCCAACCTCTCAGATTCTCCTGCCTCCATCCCCTCTACTTCTTGAGCAACCATCCTAATCCCAATCTCAGGATCTGGGTTTCCACAGAGGATACTAGAGAGCCTTTGCCTTCGTGTTAACTTGATTTTTCTTGCCCACTGCCGGGTTGCTTGCTTGAAACTCTGTATGTGTGACTATGTATAGAATGTAAACACCCAATTCAAATTCACACTGTACAGGTTACCTAGTCATCTAGTAGAAAGTAAAACATGTGGCAACATCCCAACCTTCACCTGGAGCACCTTTAGGAGAGGGGAGTTGGTGTAGCACACTCAACCATGGACTCTTAGAGAATAAACTTATTTTATTTTTATTTTTTTAACGTTTTTTTAATTTTTTTATTTTTGAGACAGAGAGAGACAGAGCATGAACGGGGGAGGGTCAGAGAGAGAGGGAGACACAGAATCGGAAACAGGCTCCAGGCTCTGAGCCATCAGCCCAGAGCCCGACGCGGGGCTCGAACTCACAGACCGCGAGATCGTGACCTGAGCTGAAGTCAGACGCTTAACCGACTGCGCCACCCAGGCTCCCCGAGAATAAACTTGTTTTTGAAGGTCCCCAAATGACTCCAGAAGAAGGGATTCTGTCTAAGGGAGAGATTTGACCAGCAGTTTGATTAGTCTCGATATGTATTTAATAGTTAATATTTAAAAACTTGTGTAATATTTAGTAATCGGCTTTTTTTTTAATTAAACATAAGACAGTATTAATTGGACTGGGTATTAATAAATAATTACTAATATTGAACATAGTTCTTAAATTCCATTTAGGTTCTAAGTAATCATTTGACAAATCTTCGAGTGCCATAGCTGAGGCCCCTGGAGCTAAGATTTTTGAGTTGTGACGAAAAACAAGGACAGTTTTATCCTCCATCTCAGAAAGAGGTAACGGTCATCTTGGAGACAAGTTACCAGAATGCATCTTGCTCTCCTCCTTCATCATGTCTGTGTCTGGAATGCTTTCTATTTACCCCTCTCCCTACTGCAATACTGTTCTCCTTTTGACCTCCTGGCCGAGTCCTAGTCATCTGCCGAGTCCCAACCCAGATGCTCTTTGAAACCTTCCTGAATTTCCCAACCAAATTCAGATGTCATTTCTTCCTTTGTCCCACTCTATTTTGTGCGCGACTCCATTAGAGAGCATTTACAGAGTACTTTTCATTGCTGGTTTATATGTCTGTCTTTGCCCGGAACTGTGAGTTCTCCGAGGACCATTATTGGGTCATTATTTGATGTGAGGCATTACTTCTAGTGCTGTAGAGAGGAGACAGAGTTGTTTCAAATATAGTCCCTGTTTTCTAAGAACTTACTGTTTAGAGCTTTAGGGCAAGAAAGGAACTCGTTGTTAGTAATTGCCTCATTCTGCCACTCTTCTGGAGGAGCCAGGGAAAAGAGTTCCTGGTTTTAATATAGGTTTTATTACTGTTCAGGTATGGTAAGGCCAACCAATCAGGAGACAGCTGCCATCGAAAAGGTAGTTTGTTATACTTATAGATCTGAAGGCAAGGGCGTGCCACGCCATGAGGGCCACACAGGGAAGCACCAGGGACAAGGGGGAAACTGTCACAGCCTTTATTGTGGTCTCCATGGGAAGGAACAGGTGAGGCAGGGTAAGCAGGTTTAGGATTGCATAGTTTGAATACTGTCAGTGGGCTTGGGGGCATAGAGGCTGTCCCTGGTTGTTTAGTACCTGGCTTGGGGGTGATTAGAGCAGGTGGAGCCTGATAAAAGAGGTGGTTGGAGCAGGAATGTATTATGCTAAGTGAAATAAGTCAGTCAGAGAAAGACAAATCCCATATGATTTCATTCATGTGGAATTTAAGAAACAAAACAGATGAACATATGGGAAGGAAGAAAAAAAGAGAAGAAAGTAAGCCATAAGAGACTCTTACTGTAGAGAAGAAATGGAGGGTTGATGGAGGGAGGTCGGTGGGGGATGGGCTAGATGGGTGATGGGCATTAAGGAGGGCACTTATTATGAGGAGCACTGGGTGTTATATGTAAGTGATGAATCACTAAATTCTACTTTTGAAACCAATATAACACTATATGTTGACTAACTAGAATTTAAATAAAAACTTGAATCAAACAAACAAATAAAGGAGCAATCCGTATATCAAAAAAAAAAAAGAGAGAGAGAGAGAGGTGGTTGGGGGAATGGCCCCAGAATGGTTGGTCTCCTTTTGAAAGACACATTCACTGGCAGGTTGCTTACCATCTTTAGAAGTTGGCTAGCCCAGGGGTGCCTGGGTGGCTCAGTCGGTTAAGCGTTGACTTCAGCTCAGGTCGTGATCTCAAGGTTTGGGAGTTCAAGCCCCATGTCGGGCTCTGTGCTGACAGCCCGGAGCCTGCTTCAGATTCTGAGTCTCTCTCTCTCTGCCCCTCCCCTGCTCTCTCTCTCCCTCTCTCTCTCTCTCTCTCTCTCTCAAAAGTAAATAAACATTAAAAACATTTTTTTAATTAAAATTTTTTAAAAAAGAAGAAAGAAATTGGCTAACCCTGAAAGGGCCAGTCCCTTTAGAGGTTGCAAGTCCCCAGATGTCCTAGTATCAGAATACGGAAAATAAAAGATATGATTAATACAGTTATAAAACTAGGTCCCTGGCCTTCCTCATTGGGTTCCCCTCTATGTGGAATCTCTGAAAAGCAGGATTAAAAAAGGAAAGGGAAGAGGGAAGGAAACTCCTCTCTCAATTTGGAGTGCAGTCAGCTACAGGTAAAGCAACTACACTGTTTTAAATAAATAGCTAATTTTCCTCACATAACAAAATTTCAGGAGGCGGGCAGACCCAGATAGGTGCTGCAACTCAACCACATCATTCGAGGCTCAGCTCATTATACCTTCTAGTCTGCCAACCCTGATATCCCTAGTGTGTTGGCCAGGACGGTCAGGACAGCTGACCGCCTCCAGTCTTGTGCCCGCCTCCAAGGAGGAAGACGGGGAGGGCAGAGGGCTGTGCCACCTACGATTCTCTTCCCTTCTCTAGGTCCCGGCCCGAGGGCGGGCACCTTCTGAAATGCTAACCTAAAACAATCTAAATATCTCTCACTGGGCAATTTAAAAAAATGTGGTAACTGGAAATGTATTAATAGGGATTAAGCTCCAAAAGATAATAAATGGAAAAAAAAAAGCCACAAAACAGCATGTTTACTTTGCCACCATCTTCCGCACATGCCAGAGTGATTGAGCCTCGTCTCCACGGGACCCCGTTAGCAGGAGTTGTCTCAGGGCGAGGGAGCTGCATGGCTGGGGGAAAGGATTGAGAGAGAGGATGAATTTTTCCCAGTCTAAACCCTTTTGGATCTTTCGATTTTGTGCTACATGCCTGTGTACTGTGTGTTTCTCATTTTAAACGTGAAGGATAAATTAATATGCTAGGTTCTACCTTGCTTATAAATTGTGCAGTGGTTCCTTGCAACCTTCAGGATTAAGTCCAAAGTCCTGGCTTACTGTATACATGGATCACATTATGCTCCTTAGTATTTAAGGACCTGCGTGGTCTGGCCCTCCAGTGACCTCTCCAGCTATGTGATCCAGCTGAGCAGAACAAAATGCAGACACTGAACTGGGCATGGCCTCTGCCTCTATGCCTTCCTCCCCACTGTGTTTTAGTCATCTTTCAAAATAGCCCAGAAGTTCTTTCTTTTGAGAAGCTTTTTCTCATCTCCCCTTCCAGAGTAATTGCCCTTCTACTGAGCTTGTATTGTTTCTGGTGAAAAACTGTGCCAAACCTATTGAGATTGTTTGTGTGCCCATCTCCCCCATGGCCTGTGAGCTCCTTGAGAACAGAGACTGTATCTCATTGCAGGACACCTAGCAGAAAGCACTGCACAGAGCATGTGTCTAGTAAACATTTGTTGAGGGAATAAAGATGTGAATACATTGTTTCTTGATTTATGATATACACTTATAACACATATATACACCACCAAGTTCTGGCCACAAGTTGAAGATTATAATTTGCAGAATAAGTTTCGTTTGGCAGGCTGTTAGAGAGGATTCGCATTTCAGATTTTAGAGGAAGCTGCCCCTTCTCTGGCTGGTTGAGTTGAACAGTCCTGAAGGCATGGTTATGTTTCACCTCTACCTAGCTCACAGCCATGGTTTACATGGTTCCTACTGGCCAAAGCCACCACTGGCAAGGTGGTTCCATAGAAGTCACCTGGTGTTTATTTTTTTTTTAATTTTTTTTTCACGTTTATTTATTTTTGAGACAGAGAGAGACAAACTATGAACGGGGGAGGGTCAGAGAGAGGGAGACACAGAATCTGAAACAGGCTCCAGGCTCTGAGCTGTCAGCACAGAGCCCGACGTGGGGCTCGAACTCACGGACCGCAAGATCATGACCTGAGCCGAAGTCGGCCGCTTAACTGACTGAGCCACCCAGGCGCCCCATCACCTGGTGTTTAAAGGCCTTTGAAAGTGAATAAACATCATTACTAAAGCTGGGTGCTAGGCAATGTGCTAAGGTACTTTATGAACATATCTCACTTAGTCTCCATGCAATCCAGTCAAGTGGGCACTTTTAATGCCTTCATTTTACAGCTAAGCATACTAAAGCTTGGAGACCTTAGGAAACCACAGAATCCACAATTACTGAGTGGTGGAGGCAGGCCATGAACTCAGGCTGATTCCAGAGCCTGCGACCCTAACCTCTGACGGAGGAACCCACTCCCTAGCATCCTCTTTTCATCCCACAGGTGCCAGGCAGTCGGAAGCATTTCCTGCCCATGTGGTGGCCTGATCCTGTCTGCGCATCTGTGAGGTCCTGGTGAGCTCTGAGTCCCATTCTTGTTGTGGGCTTGATCCCTGGTGGTCAGAGGGCTTAGAAAATCAACTGTGTCAGATATGGTATAGTAGGTCAAAGAGGGCTCAGATTTCTCACAGGACCAGAAGATTGGTTCCAGATCCTTTGCTGCCATGTAACTGGGGGTGGGGGTTGGAGGGCCTGAGGCTAGCTGCCCTCAAGTCAGCTAAGCTGGTACAGGAAAGAGGGAATCCTGGGACCTTTGAGTTTTTCTTGGCCTTGTGCCCTCATCACAAACCCCTCATTACATCAGCTGCCTTAGTGATGCCCCTGAGCAAAGGGTCCTTATAACACGGAAAGTGAAGAGTTTGAGAGGGGCAGTAATTACATCACTGGGCCAGCCCATTTGTTAACCATATGCTCATGCCAAGCACCCTGTCAGGCATTTCACAGGCGTAATCCAGCAAGGTGAGTGCATGGACCCCAATCTCATAGATCGAGAAACTGGGGCAGAGGGGAAACAAACTGCCTAAGGCACACAGCGGGCTAAGAAGTGACGGGGCAGGAGATAAGCCTAGGTGTCGCTCCTCATCGACATACACTCATTTACTGAATGCCGTTTGTGTCCTGTGTCTGTGCACTTGGGATATCAGTGACCACACAGAAGTCCCTGCTCTTATGGAGATTACATTCTAGTGATATTAAGACACCGTCAATATATAGGTTATGTGATGTAACTAGGCATATCATACACAAACTGCAGAAAAAGCAAAAACAGAGAACTTGATAAGAGTTACGAAAACATACAGAACAAAGTGCAGGAGATTGGGAATGCCGGGGGGTTGGCAGAGGGAGAAGACTGTAGCAGAGCCTTGTCAAGTAGGTAATGTCCGAGTGAAGATTTGAAGGGTAAAAGAGGTCAGGGAGCTGGCCATTCTGACCTCTGTGGAAGAGTGTAGGGGCAGCTTAATTCCAAGGTGGCTCAAGACATGGATGAACCTGAGAAGACTCCTGTTCTCAAGGAAGGAAAATGCTTGAAAACAGCCAACCAGAGTGAGAGAGATCCGAATCCGTCCACGTCACACAGCTTGGGGATGGAGACTGATTTCTAGGTTTTCGGTAGAAAACAGGCGTCCTTCCTGCCTATGTCCTGAGGAGAAAGGAGAAGCTAGTGTAACCGAAGAGGCTGGGGTCACCCTGGCTTTACACCCCCGATTAAAGTCTGCTTGCTGTCGCAATACCTGTGGCACGCCCTTGGTCTCTCTGTTTCTGAGGGCATCTGAGATATGCACTGCCTGGCGCTGGGGCCTTGGTACCACCCCAGTAGGCAGCTTGGACATACCTAGACTTCTCAGCTTCCTGGCTGGGCTCTGCGCTTGTCCTGCTTCAGCAGTCCATTGTCTGGTTCCAAGACAGATAGATCATCTTAGTGAAGATATCTCTGAATCCCCTTGATGGAGTACTTGCCTAAGCTGGGGAGCCTGCTCTCTGACTCTCCATGGAAAGGGGACAGGGATAGAGTGATGTAAGCGCTGTGGGCTGCCCCTTGTTCGTTGTGCTGCCCAGTATTGGGTTCTGGGCTTTCTAAGGATCAGTCCAGGCCACATGCTTATTGAGGCTGCTTTATGCCAGCCCTGTGTGCACAGGAATCTGACACGTCCTGATCTTGAGGCGCACTAAGACTGCTCCGGCGATAGATAGTTTTATTATGCTTTGCCATTGTCCACCCTGTCCTGGACCCCACCCACCCCTAAAATACAGGACAGCAGCAGATAAGTACTCTACCCTCTGTGTGGTCCTCCTGGGGAGGTTGTCTGGATCTCTAAGCTTGTTCTGATGGTCTTACTTTCCATCCACTTGATGTATCTCAATTTGAGAACTATTTTAGAAATATTTCTACACAAGCTTAGGTTCTCCCTTGAACCTATGGCTGGCATTAGACCCTTGGCTTTTACCTGATGATGAATACGAAAGACACTCTTAATTCCTGACAAAAGTGCAATGATAGAAGTTTGCACAGGGTTTAGGTGAGAGGTTCCGTTCAGCCTAAGGTTGTCCTGTAGGCTTCGTGGAGAAGAGGATGCCCCAACTGGGAAAGCCCTCGGTCTGGGCATGTGGTCTAGTCTTAGTAAGGAGACCAGTTGTGCCCTTGTGCAAATTTTCTTGTCTGCAAATCCACTTCATAGATTGATTCTTAAATAGGAGACAAAGGTTTTCTGGTCTAGCATGGAAGAGGCTTGGAAGTCAACACTCCCATCCTCACAACAACAAAAAAAGCTGAACAAACCACACATCTTCTTAGTTCCATCAGAAAATGGAAGTCCTAGGGCAGAAGGCGACCTGCAAAATTGGAGAGACAGGTGGACACAAATAGTCACAACTTACCAAAAGCAAAAGCTCAGGTAAGGAACCCCAGTGATGGAGCCAGTACCTGGGTGGGAAGACTTAACAGTAATTGATGAATTGCTGGAGGCTCTGTGTAGACAAACTTGAGAGTTAAAATTTTCAGGAGGGCCTAGTTTTAGGAGGAGCCTGACATCTTTGTGAGTTTTACCTCCAGGAGCCCTCCAGGTCCCTTACAGTAAAGAGTGAAGAAAAATCCTTGTGTGCTGCCAGCAGGGAGAATAGAAAATTAGCTGTATCAAAAGCAACCCAAAGCATTATGTTTTTCTTAACATGGACTGCCCTCAAGAGAAACTAATTAACCAGAACCTAACTGACCCAGGGAAAGGAAATACCGAAGTCCAGTCCTTTAACCTTTCTGCCTTGACTGAGGGGGTGGGGAAAACCAGCAACTGGGGAGCACTTGTGGTCACAGCCCATGGGTTCCTTAAAAGACTGAAATTTGGGGACGCCTACGTAGCACCCAGGGTGGCACCTCAGTTAAGCTGACAGCGCAGAGCCTGGAGCCTGCTTTGGATTCTGTGTCTCTCTCCCTCTGTCCCTTCCCCACTCATGCTCTGTCTCTCTCTCTCTCAAAAATAAACATTAAAAAACAAAAAAGACTGACACCTGATCATAGGACTATAGAATGCTTCCCTTCCCCCAATACCTTACTACCACATCAGTAGGGCCCCTGCATCATAACAGGGGATTACAAATGAAAGAACTGCATATCTCAGGCCATATTTTGAAAGTCTCTAGGGAAATAAATACAAAGATAACAGGGGAGATAAAAACAAGAACACCAGAGGAAATTTACCTTTAATACCTACAGCCAAAGCAAACAGCAAACACAGTCTAGCTCCTAACCATATCAAACATAAAGCCTCACACTTAAGGCCTATTGTCTTCCATTCCTTTTACATAGTGTATCATGTTTGGCTTTGAGCATAAAACTATAAGTCATACCAAAAGACAAGAAAACACAGCTTGGACAAAACAAGCATCAGAACCAGATTCATAAATGGCAAAGATGTTGGAATTATCAGACTGTGAATTTAGAACAACTGATTAATATGCTAAGGGCTCTAATGGAAGAAGTGGGCAACATTTAAGAATAGATGAAAGTGTAAACTAAGAGATAGAAACTTCAAGAAACAATCAAAGGAAATGTTAAAAATCAAAAACATTTTAACAGAAATGAAACATTACCTTTGATGGGATCATCAGTAAACTGGACATGCCAAAGAAATAATCAGTGAGTTTGAACATATATCACCAGTAACTTCCAAAACTGAAATGCAAAGAGAAAAGGGAATGAAAAATATGTAACAAAATATCCAAGAACTGTGGGACAATTACAAAATGGGTAGCATGCAAGGGATACAGGAGTGCTGATGCATAGGGGCACTTGTACCCCAATGTTTATAGCAGCACTTTCAACAATAGCCAAATTATGGAAAGAGCCTGAATGTCCATCAACTGACAAATGGATAAAGAATATATGGTTTATATATACAGTGGAATGCTACTTGGCAATGAGAAAGAATGAAATCTGGCCATTTGCATCAACGTGGATGGAACTGGAGGGTATTATGCTAAGTGAAATAAGTTAGGCAGAGAAAGACAGATACCATATGTTTTCACTCATATGTGGATCCTGAGAAACTTAACAGAAGACCATGGGGGGGGGGGAAGTGAGAAAAAAAGTTACAGAGAGAGAGGGAGGCAAACCATAAGAGACTCTTAAATACTGACAACAAACTGAGGCTTGATGGAGGGTGTGGGAGAGGGGGAAGGGGGTGGTGGGCATTGAGGACGGCACCTGTTGGGATGAGCACTGAGTGTTGTATGGAAACCAATTTGACAATAAATTATATTTGATATAAATAAAACAAAATGGGTAGCATACATGTAATGGGACTACTAGAAGAAGAAAAAAGATAGAAACAAAAGAATTTTTGAAATAATAATGACTGCGAATTTTCCAAAATTGACAGACAACAAACCACAAATCTAGGAATCTTAAAGAATACTAAAAATGATAAATACCAGAAAATCTACAATTGGGCATATCATATTAAAACTGTAAAAATATATATCAGAACGCCTGGGTGGCTCAGTGAGTTGAGCGTCCAACTCTTGATTTCAACTCAGGTCATGATCTCATGGTTCGTGAGTTTGAGCTTTACATTGGGATCTGCACTGACAGTGCAGAACCTGCTTAGGATTTTTTTTCTCTCTCTCTCAAAATAAAATAAGCCATTAAAAAAGTCAAAGACAAAGAGAAAATCTTGAAAGAAGCTAGAAGGGAAAAAGCTTACCTATAGAAGAACAAGGATAAGAATTACATCACACTCCTTTTCAGAAACTATACAAGTAAGAATGCAGTGAAATATTTAAAGTATTAAAAGCAAAATCATGTAGTGGCACCTGGGTGACTCAGTCAGTTGGGCGTCCAACTCTTGATTTGGGCTCAGGTCTTGATCTCATGGGTTCGGGGGCTCGAGCCCCACATCAGGTTCCACACTGACAGCACGGAGCCTGCTTGGGAGTCTCTCTCCCTTTCTGTCTGTGCCTCCCCAGGTTACATGTGTTCTCTCTCTCAAAATAAGTAAACTTAAAAACAATTTTTTTAAATAAAAGAAAATAAAAATGTAGAATTCTATATCTAGAAAAATTATCTTTCAAAAATGAAGAAATACTTTCTCAAAATTAAGGGCATTTGTTACTAACAGAGCTATGTACAGGGATAGGAAGAATCAATACTGTCAAGATGTCAGTTCTTCCCAATTTGATCTATAGAGTCAATGTAATCCTAATCAGAATTCTAGCAAGCTAATATGTGGATACCAGCAAATTGATCCTAAATTTTATATGGTGAAGCAAAAGACCAAGAATAGCCAAAACAATATTGAAGAACAACAAGTAATTTGGAGGACTGCCTCTATCCAACTTCAAGACTTGCTCTAAAGCTGCAGTAACCAAAACAGTGTGGTATTGGCAAAAGAATGGACAAGCAGACCACACAAATATAGTCAACTGGTCTTTGAAGAAGAAACAAAGACAATTGAGTGGAAAAGGGATAGTCTTTTCAACAAATGGCACTGGAACACTGGACATGCACCTGCTGGAAAAAAATAATAAAGAATTTAGAAACAGATCTTTCACAAAAATCTACTCAATGTGCATCAAAGGCCTAAATGTAAAAGGCTAAACTATAAACTCCTAGAAGATCACACAGGAGAATATCTAATGGCCTTTGCTTTTGTGATGAGTTTTTAGAAACAACACCAAAAAGTACTATCCATGAAAGAAAACATTGATAAGTTGGATTTCACTGAAATTAAAACCTTCTGCTCTGTGAAAGGCACTGTCAAGAGAATGAAAAGTCAAGCCACAGACTGGGAGAAAATACTTGCAAAGACACATCTGGTAGAGTACCCAAAATATACAAAAAGCTTCTACAACTGAACAATAAGGTAAAAAAAATGACCCAATTAAAAATGGGCAAAAGACCTGGACACCTCACTAAAGAAGCTATACAGATGGCAAATAAGCATGTGAAAAGATGTTCAGCATCACATGTCATTAGGGAATTTCAAATTAAAATAAGCTACCCCTCACCTGCGTGGCTCAGCCAGTTAAGTGACCGACTTCAGCTCAGGTCATGACTCATGGCTCGTTAAGTCCAGCCCCGTGATGGACTCTGTGCTGACAACTCAGAGCCTGGAGTCTGCTTCTGATTCTCTCTCTCTCTCTCTCTCTCTCTCTCTCTCTCTCTCTCTCTCTCCCCCCCCTGCCACTCATGCTCTGTCTCTCTTTCAGAAATAAATAAACATTTTTAAAAATCATTTA